TGCCAAGCAGAGAGCTTGGTCTACTCAAACTCCTCAGTCAGAACTGTGTCCTCTGATCCAGTTGAGATGTCGCTGCTGCTGGCTGCTCTTTCTGTTGCTAATCATCACTTTTCTTCAACTGAGTACAAAGAAGATGAGCTACTTGATGTGATAGCCTGCTGCTGTGGGCTTCATTTTCAACACTGTCTCCTGTTTCAATCCTTGTTCTTCTTAATTGAAAAGCAGACTGACAGAGAAAGAAGAAGAGACATCTTACATCTGCTGGTTCATGTCCCAAGCGGCTGCAGAGGTTGAGGGAGAGCCAAGGCAGAGCCAGAAGCCAGGAACTCCGACCGAGTTGCCCGCAATGGTGTCGGCGCCTACTGCCCTCCCACACTCATTAGCAGGGACCCGATGCTCCAGTAAGGAATGCTGGTGTTGCAAGCCATGACTTAACTCACTACACACACCACAATGCTGGCCCAGGCTTATCATTTCTGGGTCTGCTGATTTCTTAGGGGACCCTGTCCCCACAAATGTTCTAGCGCGAGTGACTTCATCATTGTCCTAACCCAAAGTTTTTCACAAATCTGTTGTTCTTGTCTTGCTTTTGCAAGAATTCAAAGGGATGTTCTAACGGATTAGTACACGTTACTCATCGAAAAATTTTGAAATCTATGCAGTTGTTTTTATAATGGGCATCTCTATAAACTTTCTGAAGACTTCCATATGGACGGGATCTGGGTCAAAGTGACAATCACAGTATCTTTTTTTTAAAGACAAAATTTCTACTGAGTAATTTCTATAGCATAGGAGTTTTCTTACACAGAACTGAGAAAGCACAACAGTTGGGCTCGAAGATGGTACTGATTACAGCATGCTTGCCGAGATGGGTCCTTTTCCTCTGTGTAATTAACTTGGTTCCTCTAACCTACAGCTCTCCCAAGGGCCCGAGGAAACACAGCCCTGGCAAAGACCGGGACGTTATCGCACGACATCAAGAGCAAGTCATAACACTCAGAAGAGAAAGGCAGCAGGGTGGAGCAACTCAAATCTGAGCAAAGCTCTGTTTCTGCCATTGTTATTTTTGAACTTCATGTTCTTTTTGTGATATTTTCCTGCCATTTTTTTCAGAACAGTTTATATAGAAAAACAACCAACCAGCCAAAGGGAACACTCTCTTTAAAACCTCAACTGGCCTGGTGCTGTTCCCTGCATGGATTTGTCTCTCTAGAGGCTCCCCTGATGCCCCATTTAGCACTTCCAGTTGTTTTCATGAAAACACGCAGCTTCAGACACTTTGACCCCACAGAGAAACGTCATTTCCACAACGGACACGGCTGATTCTCAAGTCCTGGAAGCAATTCTGTTCATGGTTAAACCACACACTCACATCTCCTATTCAACGCCGGGTTTTAAATGACGCTTACCTACTTCTCCCTCAAAACTGCTATTTGTAGGAGACTTGAAAAGTAACAGAAATCATCATCATAACACTCTCACTTTTATCAAGTGTAACTGCAGCTTTCAGAACATTGATTTGTTTTCTTTCAGTGTCTGAACAATAGGTCTGCAGAATCATTCCCAAGTGCCTGCCTGGAAGACAAAAGTACTCTGAAGTTCTTGGGATTCAGCCAGATGTTATCAGAGAGGGGAAATAAGAACAACATCTGGCCTTTCTCAGTGCTGACCCCTCTTTCAGTCCAAGCTTGTATGATGTCACACGCAGCATGGGCAGTATGGATCAGATGTCCATTTCACATCCAGTGCTGTGCTAAGCACCCACTGCAATGGGCCACACCTTCTGCCTCATTCAGTAAGCTACCAGATAGGTAGGACCTGCCTCCCTGCGGTAGCATGGAAGAGAAAACGGAACCTCACAGAGATTGTGTGGGTTTCTTCCAAAGCTATGGTATAGCTGCATAACAAGAACAGCTTCAAAGGTTTGTGGAAGACACTATTAAAATCTGTCTACTTTGATGCAAGAAAAAAAAAGAAACCTCTCCATAGTTTTATATGACAGATTCCCATGAACTTTTAAAAGATCCTCTACCATGCATGAATTTCAATATTTCTTAGACCAAAATAAGCTCCCACTGCTATTGCAGGTAAACAGATGCCAGACCCATCACTGTGGCCCGGTCACAGACTAATTCATTCTTCTACTCCACACACTCTTAAGGCACTAAGGCACCAGAGTGGTTATATAGTATCATGCCCAAGATCACCCAACTAGAAAACAACACTACTTGTAGTCAATCAGGAAAGCCTAACTCCACACTCCACACTCAACCACCAACCCTATCCCGTCCATAAGCTCCGGGCAAGTGCTTTGCTCAACTTGATCCCAATCTCACACATCATCCCTGCATTCAAACACCTGGCCTTAAGGAAAATAGAACAGCCTGTAAAAGCCTCAGTAAACCAAAAAAATGATAATAGGGCCAAGTCTTCTATAAATGTCTCTAGCTTTGAAGTGCATGTCATGTGGAATTCCCTCTGACCCCGAAGGCCTCTCCTTCAGCCCCTGTGTACAAACGCTGGTGTACTCATCAACCATTCACCCACTGCTTAATTTCCCCAACTAGATACAAGAAGACTCCAGAGGGCCCGGCACGATGGTGGTGCAAGTCGTTAAGGTCCTCACCTTGCACACCCGGGATCCCATATGGGCACCGGTTCTAATCCCGGCAGCCCCGCTTCCCATCCAGCTCCCTGCCTGTGGCCTGGGAAAGCAGTCGAGGACGGCCCAAAGCTTTGGAACCCTGCACCCGCGTGGGAGACCCGGAAGAGGCTCCTGGCTTCGGATCGGCATAGCATCGGCCGTTCGCTTGGGGAGTGAATCATCGGACAGAAGATCTTCCTATCTGTCTCTCCTCTCTGTATATCCGCCTTTCCAATAAAAGCAAAATAAATCTTAAAAAAAAAAGAGAAGCCTCCAGAGTATCTGTTTGCTCTTAATTTGCTGATACTCAGCTGCTCTTCCTGAAACAAACTTGTGCCATCAGTAAACCTCATTGAAAGACAAAACCACTGTGGGTACTGCAGTACAGAGAGTGTCAAACACAGGGATAAACTGTTGCAATGTTTCTCATAAAAAAAAAAAACTATGGAAAATGTAAGAGTGAGAGAGAATGGATGAGGATGTACTTAAATGATTAGACTGCACTACTCCTGTGCCAGCACAATGGGCGTGGCATGGCAGGGACGGGTAACAGTTCCATGGTGGTTGGCGAGAAGGCTCTTCAATGAGCAGAGGTGGATCTGGCATGGTGGCCTAGCAGCTAAAGTCCTCGCCTTGAACACGCCCGGGACCCCATATGGGCACCAGTTCTAATCCCGGCAGCCCTGCTTCCCATCCAGCTCCCTGCTTGTGGCCTGGGAAAGCAGTCAAGGACGGCCCAAGGCCTTGGGACCCTGCACCCGTGTGAGAGACCTGGAGGAAGTTCCTGGCTCCTGGCTTTGAATCAGTGCAGCACCAACAGTTGCAGTCACTTGGGGAGTGAATCATTGGATGGAAGACCTTCCTCTCTGTCTCTCCTCTCTGTATATCTGACTTTGCAATAAAAAAAAAATCTTTTTAAAAAATGAGCAGAAGTGTGTTGGAACTTGCACCAAATCATAAGCCTAATTTTAAGAGGACTGTCACACATCTGGGTGGAGGATAAACTCATTATAAAAAGTACGTGCAAAATTGTTCGCATGGCAACCTTTCTCACTAGCACCAGGTGAAGTAACGACAGTGACAGTGATAACAAGGACAATGCTATGGCAGCAATGAATAAGTGATAGGACAGCACACCAAATTTTATGGTGCTTAAAAAGTTTGGTGGCAAAATCAAATATTGATTTGAAAACAGCAGGTGGTTGCAGTGAACATCTGTCTGGCTTGATTGTTCAGTCTCATGGTCTGTTGCTTTTTAGGAAGCCCTCTTGCTCCCTGTCCTTGTTTCCCACTGGGATGTTCCCTCCTGTCTTATGTTGCGGAGTCGCTTGGGTCCCTGAGATGCTCTACCCATGCTAGTGCCTGCCAAGGGGAGACAGCGGAAGCTCAAGCTAAGCCAAACACAAAGGGACTGTTGTGTCAAAGACAAAGGGACTGTTTAGCCATCAGTTGTCATTTCTGAGAATGGGCTCGGACAGCATGCTGGATCTTCACTTCTCCTTCAGTCCCAGCAGCTTCTCTAGGCTCTTCCAGCTCTCTCCCTTTTCCCAACGTGACCCTAACTCAATATCACTGATCTGCTCATAAAGAATGAGAGCCAGATACCAGCTGAGCATGCAACTAAGGAAATATTTGTTGCCTGAACTAGCCAAGATTGCAAGCAAAGATAGTTGATAGAAGAGGGTACAGCCTGGAGATCCCTGGGAACTTGGCAAATAATCCTGGGATGCCAGGTGCAGGTTACCAGGACTGTGGCGTCTGTCACACAGACCGAGTGGAGAAATAGCACTCTAAGTGACAGTCGCAAAGAATGTTTAAGCTCTCCAGACTTCAGACGCAAGTCTGAAGTGATCACAGAGACACCTAGCAGGAGATGACAAAGTCTTTCCATTCCTAGCTCAACATTAAAAATCAGCAGGAAGCAACTGCGTTATAGATCACAAGAACCTGCTGGAGTAGTCTGCACAAATGTGACACTTCTCTCCCTGCCTGCTGCACGCTCTCCTAGCCTCTCCACCTGACTGAACAGCAGCATTAACCTCAGAACCTTCATTTCATTTATGGCTGATTATACAGCCCGGCTCATCAAGACTGTTTCCATCTGAATTCACAGACCACAAGACCTTACCATGAGCCTTATTTTCATAAACCCACTTGGGATGAATTCATGTTAAATTTTATGCCACATCATTAAAAAAATGTCAAAACTCAAACTAAATGCGTACCTTCCATTTTAGTCTTCTAGTAAAACAAATTCACCAACAGTACCAGACTCATGGCACTTGACTTTTTGGAAACAAATACGTAAACACTGAAGCCAATGGGAAAATGTTCATGCTTACCCAAGCAAGCCTACCTGAAAAGGGACTCTCTGGACAGCCAAATTTCATTCTGTTTCACAGTTTTCCAAGAGAACAGCAAGAGCAGCAGCACAGTGGACGCAATCATGGTGGTGGCCCCACATCGGTTGAGCCAGGTATACAGCTTGCTCAGTCCGTGCACAAAAAGGATGCAGTAGCCCATGCTGGGAAACAGAGTGGAAAAAACACAATCAGCTGGGGTTGGATGGCCTTTGAGCATTCCCTGTACTATTGTAATGAACTTCGGCATAATGCTTGGCCTATGCAGGGGAAAGACACATAGTCTTCCCTGTCTTGGGCCACACGCACATGTTTGCTCTCTGACATGCTACACTAATGTGCTTGCTCGTTTCTGGAAACCAGAGTGCAGGATGATCCTGCAGCCAAAAGGGCCCCTGAATTTTAACATCTCAGGCATCTTGAGACATTCACTTGTATGTCCTGGATGCCTGACTGGGTCCTCTGGCCCATCCCACTTATGTCGCTGTCCTTGCAGAGCCTTTTGCCACCAAGTGTCCAAACCTGGAGCCTATGCTGCACCCAGCTCTGGAGGGACAGTCTGAGCATCCCTTCCGCTGTGGCAGGGCTGCTGCTCAGCGAAGGGCACCTGTGTCAGTGATAAGAGATGCTCTGCAGAGGGTTTCTCCCACCACAGCAAACAACACCCTTCTGCTCTGGAAGATGTAAGCATAGGCCAGAATCTGAGCTCATTACAGACAGGCAGGACCGACAGCACCTCCTGCTGACCCAGGCTCAGTATTCTTCCATATTCACTTCCTGACTGAGCAGGATTTCCACGCCCAGGGCTGTCAGTTCCCTGAACCCCTGGCGCGGCTTGGGGTCCCTGACATCATCTCTGCATCCATACAGATACACCACGCCATTATTGTTGTGTGACCCAGAGCAGCTGGAGGCTACTGTTTTCCAAAGATGACAACTACAAATTATTACAGACTATTTTAAGGCAGTTTGCATAATTAAGCCATGCATTGCTCAGAAAGGAATTTTGATCAGAAGCCCCAACTCAATAGAGTTCATACACTTGTTCAATTCCTTATCCATTCTTCCTGTTGTGTGACTGGTAGTATTGTAGGCAGTAAAAATACAATTGGTAATGAAATACAGGCTCCTCTCTCGGTGAATCCAATCTAATCAACCAAATTGGTATCATAAAAAGAAATCATGCTTCCTATCCCTAAACATGAGTCTCTGAATGCCTGTGCTTAGTTTTCAACAGTAGAAAAACAGGAGAGAGGCATGTGACCTGGCGACCCCGAGGACCATTTCAGAGCTCTAGTTCCCTAAGGTTACAGAGTTCACTGTTTATCCAAAGGGAGTCAACGCCTTACACATCCTGATGATGAACCACCTGGGCTAAGGAGACAAGGGACCCCAGCCCACCATCCACCCACCCCTAGAGCTAGACTCCATTGCTGCGTGGATGCTTCAGAAACATGGCATGCTCCAGAGAGGAACTTACCATGGAAAAACTCAGAAACGCCCAAACCACTCCTCATTTCTACAACCCCCACCTTAAACATCAAAGGGCAGAGTTTTCCCTACAATCTTGTGTTATTCTACTATTTTATGCTAATGTCTTCACTGTTCCTGACCACAGAGACTCTTCAAGTTCCTGTTCCTCGGCCCGGTGCGATGGCGTAGTGGTTAAGGTCCTCGCTTTGCACGCCTGGGATCCCATATGGGCTCCGGTTCTAATCCCGGCAGCCCTGCTTCCCATCCAGCTCCCTGCCTGTGGCCCGGGAAGACAGTCAAGGACAGCCCAAAGCTTTGGGACCCTGCACCCGCGTGGGAGACCCGGAAGAGGCTCCTGGCTTCGGATCGGCATAGCATCGGCCGTTGCGCTCACTTGGGGAGTGAATCATCGGACAGAAGATCTTCCCCTCTGTCTCTCCTCTCTGTATAGCTGCCTTTCTAATAAAAATAAAATAAATCTTCAAAAAAAAAAAATTCCTGTTCCTCTAGCCCCAGACTGCAACCACCATGGAAGAGGGGGATACTTGCAGGCCCAGGGTGATGATCTCTGGGATACAGCCTCTCATCTCACAGATATTTCACAAGCATCATCGCCACAGGTCTACACTGTTAAAGACATTAGTGGGGCTGGAATGGTGGCTTGGAGGGTTAACTCCACCTAAGATGCTGGATGGAGTCCTGGCTGCTCTACTTCTGATCCAGCTCCCTGTTAATGTGTCTGGGAAAGGGGCAGAGAATGACCCAAGTCCTTGGACCCCTGCATCCATGTGGGAGACACAGAAGTTCCTGGCTCCTGGCTTCTGGCTGGAGATTTGGGGAATGAACCAACGGATGGAAGATTTGTCTCTCTTTCTGTCTCCTTCTCTCTCAACAACTCATCCTTTCAAATAACCTATCTTAAAAAAAAAAAAAAGACATGGAGCACAGAGTGGAGCAAGTGGGAAACAATGCTTACCCTCATAGAACTTGCATGAATGAGTTACACTTAATGACAGATCATGTAGAAAAAAGTCAAGCAGGCGAGGAAGTTGGGCGCTTAGTGTGGGTGATCAGGAATGCCCTATGAACAATGAACAAAGACCTGAGAGGCTGGGGTCATGCCAGGCAGGCAGCTTTTTCTCCAGTGCCAGCTCCCTTCCTCCTCCCACCTACATAAAGCCCACTCTCTATTCTATCTGTCTTGTCCAGCACTTCCTATGTTTGATCTGAGCTTACCCACACAACCCGATGGGTTACCACTATTCATGTCTGACACATGGCAGCACTGAAGAAGTGGAAGGCTACCGACCTGCTGACTCAAGTCACACAGCCAGGAAACCCAGCAAAGACAAAAGCTGCAGAGTTCCCCCTTTGGAGTTCTCGCTCCATCTGCTGCCCTGCTGGCAGGCTTTTGACTGAGCGGTCTAACTCTTGTGCTCCTCATGACTTCTCACACAGCCTGACCTACTTTTCCTACCAACTACCCCATTCATGAAATTTCTACAGTCATTTACCACCTCCTGTAAGAAGCAGAGCTGCCATGTGGCACAGCAATGGGAAGCAAAGCACTGAGATGCTAACCACGCCAGGGCAACAACCACAAAGTGACACAAGACAAGAATGACAGCAGCGGCAGCAAGGGCAAGTGGCGATTTCGCACGTCTGTGCACTCACACGGTACTTCAAGCCAGACCCTGTGCTAAGCACTTTCTGTGGATCTGGCCATCAGATTTGTAGGACCTGGAGCAAGAACAGCACGTTAAACACATGATTTCATTATGCTTGCAATGAAAGAATCTTGACTTAATTTGAACTGTAATACTGCAACTAGGTGGAGGAATCCACCACAGGGGGAGGGCACCAGGAGGGGATGGGGGAATCCCTAAGCCAAGCTAGCTTTCTATTGGTTTTTCACACTCAGTGGAGTAACACAGGGGATGGATGATGGATGTGGGCTCTTTTTTGGAAAGTAGGAGCAAGAGTAGCTGGGGGAACTGGTTCTGCTTTTAACAGGGGAGTTGCAATAACTGAGTAACTACGACACCAGGCTTGTGTCTCTGTTCCATTGGAGGGCACTTCAGCTCTAACCACCCAATGCTGTCAGTTTCCTATTTGGTGTGACTCCTACACACGTGCATAGTAACACACCTGCACACTTTTCCCCCTGTCACATGTTTACTGTCTGTTGACTTGAGCCGATGCAAAGACCTCACCCTTGGAAGGCTAAAAGAAATGCCTTTCCTCTGTGCAGGCCACGAAACTGTCTCCTTACTCCTCACATCCGCCTCTGTAACAGGAAAGCAGACATATAGCAAGCAAAGAATTGGCCGCTTCTGTCCCACTGGAATGTATAAAAACAGGCAGATTTGGCTCATGAGCTGTAACTAATTTGCTGACCTCTCCTATAACCAAAATGAGGGCACATGCCATTCCTTCCCACTGTTGAAAGGCATTTGAATCAAGCAATTCAATTTTTTTTTCCAAAAGTCTCAGTACTGACATACAGTTTAAAGACCTGCTAAGCAGTTTTACATAATATCTATTTAAGTTTGCACACTTCTTAGAGACCTAAACGTTACAGACATCAAGATGCTTCTCCATTACGCAACTCCATCTTTCAACATCTCCCTGAAGGCAGATCCCAGCAGCAAGTGAGCCCAATGGGCTCTCTGCATTGCTGGTGGCAGGGCAATGCTTCATCTTGAAAGAGGATCTACAGGCTTTTCCGATCTTCTGGGAGATGACTCCAGAGAAGTTTGCTTTAGTTTGGTTAAGAAAACTCTGGGCTGCTAAGGGAGACTTTCTGGAAGCACATTAAGGGGCTCTGTTACGCAAACCGGTAACACTTGACAAAATCAGAACCTGGAGAACTAAAATCTATCCAAGTGGCAGAGATCCAAGTGCGTGAGCCGTCATCTGCTGCCTCTCAGTGCATGCATTAGCAGGAAGCTGCAATCCAGAGGTTCTGAAGTGTATATACTGCGAACACTTAAGGAAATCTCTTACACTATTTGAAATCTCTCTATTCAACAATGTAGATCTTTGTGGAGATAAAGATCATGAAACTTATGAGCTCTGGGGAATTAATGCACAATGAAGATGCTTTTATATTCAATCCTGGTAAGAACAAAGATGAATTCTTTAAATGCTTGGGTCAATTGTTTATGGATAGATGAACAGTGTATTCATTTTGCACTCCCAGCACTTACTTCGTGAGTAGAGCTGAAGATAGGAGAAGCTGAACTGAACAAAAAAGTCAGGGAATAAGACTGACTGAGCAATAGTATGAGCACTCGGAGAATGGTCCCAGGACTGGTCTTTTCTCCAGGCCTGTCTTCCTTCCCTCCAGTAGTGGCCCAAGCACTCTCAACCAAGCTTTCTACCAGGGCCTCATGCTCTTCTGGTCAAAGTCAAGTACTTTAAAACATTAAGTCCCAAACAATCTGCCCTCCTAGAACAAATCCACTGCTACCGAATGCTTTCACTTCATTCCCCACACACATTCCAGGGACCAGCGTCCTCCCTTTGGATGCAAACGCATAAAGAACACACTGGTATCTGCTACACCTTTACACCGACACATTCCTGAGTGTGCAGGCATAGACCCAGTCAGATGTCCATCATGCTTCAATTTCCTCTGACACTTCTCTTCTGACCCAACTTCTACGTTATGGAATACCATGAAAAAACA